TTTCTTTCGTACGAAACATTACCGAACACTCTGCCAGCGTCATCTGGTACGAACACGCGGGACTTCTTTAGTTTTATTATTTTTTGGACTCCTTCATTGATCACGATCTGATTTCTCGTACAGAAAGTACGGATTTAACTCACTGTTAAATCTCAGGTCGTACCCGTTGTAGCCATGGTATTTTTTATCTGAACCCTGGTGAAAGTGGAAGGTCTTGATCCTGTTGTTCATCAATCACGTACACTTATAGCTAAACATGCACGAACATGATATGATATCGAAATAGAGATTCGCTGATATTGTGTCAGCTGATGAAAATCAACAACGAATTCTGAAAATTCGTTTAAGTTTATTTCAAATTTCATAAGATTCTCTTTGCTGAAAAGGAGGAAAATACGCGTTTGAGTTGACACTCTGCTGTACTTTTCACATATGTTGTCCAGGATTCGCACAGTTTTCCACATAGCTTACCAATATACGCATCTGAGCAGATAAAATAAGCATCCATTGCATTTTTTTATGGAGTCTGTATTAACTAGCACATGAGCATTTCAGTGTCAGAGCATAAAATACAGCCCTAGCGAAAAGTTCTGGGACATTCAAAAATGGCTCCATAAAATTAACAATATCTCATTCGAATTAAACTTCACACATATGATGAATATGGTTATTGGTTAAGCTTTGATATTATGACGTACAAACGCAAACCTTTTAGTTTTAATGTAAACAAACAAAGAACAAAAGCAGTCTAACAGTGACTTATAATATGAGCGAAATGCATCACACTTTGACACCACAGGACGTTTGATGAAAATGTAACGTTCCATATTGTGATTTCTTTTCGCTTTTAGAGTATATTCACTCGGAAATTGTGGAGAACAATACACGAATTCTGCGCGATATTTCTTGAAATTTTTAGATAGTGTAAAGCTCAATGAATGTTCATCAAATTTTTAGTCCCGATAGGTACATATAAGCGCTACATAATGGTTAGTTTCCCGATCCATAATAAATTTCTATGTTGATTTATCAGGCTCTCAATAGTATGAGCTGCTGCGCATTATAAATCCTCTCCAACTGAATCGATAAAGATCAGGTTGGTGTCGCTGATCTAAACATGTCATGTAGTATATATATACAAATCTTCAGCCTTATATCTCTTATAGTGGCTAAAACGTGAGGCGGATACTTTGGCCAGCTCCAGTGTCCCAGGACTTTTTGCCGTTGGATAATTTTTGTTCTCTTTGTTTCTTTAAACTAAAATTAAAAGTTTTGCGTTTGTACGTCATGATATCAAAGCCTAACCAATAACCATATTCACTATATGTGTGAAATTTAATTCAAATGAGATATTAAAATTTTAGGAGCCATTTTTGGGTGTCCCAGAATATTTTGCGTTGGCTGTATTTACATCAATGTCGTATTCACAACGTGATTTAAATAATCCACCGGATTATAATTACAAATTATCTGTTGAAGAACAGCGAAACTGGCAAAAAACAACAAGAAGAATAAGAAAAAAATGAAAAATGAAAAGCTCATTATCCATCATTTGAATTATCATCAAAACATCAACATTATCCATCTTCATTATAAAACAACAATTAACTTCATAGATGACTTAATTACCGAAGCAAAAGAAACAAGCAGATACGTCGTCGATACAGAATCGCAAAAAGTGAAAAAGAAAAAAAAAGGTTTATTAATACAAATACAATTTATACATTCGATTAAACAGACGATCATTATATTAATTGAAACAGAACATCTACCGGATCCACAATCATTATTGTTTTCAAAAATAAAGCAATTAAGTTCAATTATATCCGATAACAATAATAAAATCATATCATGGAGACCGATCGACAGTGAATTCGGAAATTTCCATCATGTCGACCTTATTCATACAGCTACAGAAACTGACGATATTAATTTACAGTTTAAACTTAGGAATTGGCACAACGATACATGTAAAACGCAACCGAAAATGAAACGGCGTGATGATGAAACCGGGCTTGTATCATTAAAGATATATTCCATACGCCTGATGATTATTATGATGGAAACAATGAAACAACAAATTCTAACATGCAATTTAATTGTGACCATCGAACTCATTATGATTTAAATGCCACATGGTCACTTCGAAATGCAATTATAACAGCATTAGAAAAATTCCTCGATAAATTAGAAACATTTCATTGTTGGCAGTGTGTTTGGACTTAGAATTAAACATATAGAAAAACAAATTATTTAGTCGACACGAATATAATAAAAAAATTGAGCAACAAAATCGGTGAAAAATGAAACAATATGCAATAAATGATTGTGCTGCAGTTACTGAATTATTCTTTCATATGTATTCAGAAAACCAGTCAATCATCAAATACCTGAGACAGCAACGACAACATCGATCAATTTTATTATAGATTTAGATGATGATCTATCAAACATCAGTAAGGATGAATCAATTCATATTTCAATGCCAAAATTCAATAAACAAGAACGAACATTACCACCACCAGACTATGACCCACATGCCTTAATAATTACCACAACACAAGAAGAAACAAACGAATTTAATTTCATGGAAGAAGAACAATCATAAATACAAACAACAACATTAACAAAATCCGAACGGCAAAGAAGAAAAAATTTAAAACTTAAATGGAAACAAAAGAACCGTCCGGATTTTTAACACAAGGTCAAACGACCCATACATCATAAGTATGATTATAGAAAAATTCGGGTCCAACTCCTACAAGATGACATACTTACGAGTCATCAAATTAATATTAACAGAAATAAAGGCGAAGTTTTAATTGAGTTTAAATTTCCACATGAACAAGAAAAAGCAAGAACAAAAATGAAAATAAATTACTTTACAAAAGAACAATTTATCCGCCAGTGAGATTAATTAATTAAACAAAAAAAGAGAAAAAAATAACTTATAAAAAACTAACAACAGCGATAAACAAGAACAATAAACAACAGTACACATCAACTCCAGCGACAACGACAACGAACACAATAGGAAAAAACAAAAGAAAAAGAACGATAAGAATCTTTGTTAGAAATACAACCATTTTCTGACTCATTTAGATTATTATAACATATTCATCATCAACTGACACAGCAACAACATCAAAAGCCAATTTTTTGATATATTACAATTCTCCACTATCAAATATTCAAACATTTGTTCGTACAAACTAACACTATCGTTATCATCAAGCTCTTAATGATTATATTATGCTATTGAAACAACACAAAATATTCTACGAATCATTTTTATTACAATTTGTCCACGAACAGTTTTAGTACAACATTCAAATACATTTCAACAGCATTCATTTCATCATTGGAATATCTCTATCATTTTTGCATACAATAATTTAACGACGTTCTTCATATTTGTTGAATTTATTATCAATATCAAACTGAATGTATATGTTTACTATTGAATTGAACGGACTATTATGAGAAAATATTCATTAAAATGGAACCGTGCTACGATTAGAATGGAAATCATCAAGTTCCGAACATATCTTATTAGCATCATTTACATATGAACTTGGAAATAACTAATTACAAACAATAAATGAATTATTTCCAATAATCTCAAATAATGATAAAACGATTATTCACTTATCTATTCGAGCAAACCATTAATGCCAAATATGTTCATCAAATAAATGACGAATATCTGTCATAGTCCACGTGGGAATTTAGCTGAGTTTGGAACGCATGTTTAATAACATGAATCACACAATAATTAATCTTTGGGTGTGGATGGAGTATGGGTGTTACTCTGCGATTTATACAAACTCACACGCACACTCTACATGACCATGCAACCTGTTCGCTTGCAGATGCTACGTTACTGTGATCGCTGAAGCGTCTCAAGTGGTTCGCATAAAATTTCACATAACATCTATGGCATCCTAGGAAATATTTGTAGCATTCCAGGTAATACCCACGGGCTTCAAAATATTCTTCATCACATAACAGCTGATATCTGTCGTATTCTGAGTAATATGTGTTAACTCACAAGGAATTCTAGTAACATTCCAAGTAGTACCTGCTGCAGTTACCGTAATACTTGTACAGGAAAAAACCACCAGTAACCCTCTAGCTGATTCTGATAGTATTCCAGACAGCACCTGTACTGCTCTGAAAGATACCTCTACCACCTCAGTTTATATCCGTACCATCCCTGTATTTACTTGTAGCATTCGAGACAGTATCTCCAGCATCCTAAGTCACACCTCTAGCATCTTAAGTTATGCATCAAGTATCCAAGCTTATACCTACAGTTTTCTGGCTGACACCTGCAACATCCCATGTGCTACACGCAGTGTCTCAGATAACATCTGCGATCTCTTTTGGGATACTTGTAGCATCTGAGAATAATGCAATACTTAATTACCTCAAAGTGTTTACAATTAATTTCATTGAACTATCAGGTTTCACATTGCTAAGCTTTCTGTAGTGTCACAAACCTAGTACCCGACACAACAAAACGATTTTTTCCTGTGAAACTGAACTTTTATTTGTCCGTCGCAGCAAACGGTTATATTATGCTTTTTTACTATTTTAAAATAGGTGCATTCAAGTTTATAAATTGTAATTAATGTAAAATTGCATGTTTTGCTTTTTGGTTATTTTTACATGAGCACATTCGAATTTATCAATTATACTTGATATAAAATTTTGTCTTTTGCTGTTTTTTGCTAGTTTAACATGAGTGAGATTTTTCTTTTAATTTCCGATGTATAATCGAACTCGAATAAGGCTTCTACTCAATTATTGAGATTTTCTGATTCGTTTGAATCTTTGGTCCATAACACTGCAGTTGGTCACACCACTAAGCACAAAGGAACTAGATCAAAAGATTATTTTATTCAAATCGAATAAATGCATGTGAATGTTTATAAAAGCGTTACAAGGGGAATTATATCTATTTCTAAGTATTCTCTTTGTAATTATAAATCCAGTAGCTAATATTCTTCTGTGAAAACATTTTTCGTGTATGCTATTGAAGGATCCTGTGTATACCGTTCAAATTTCACTTGGTTTCCATTCAACATCATAACCAAATGTTGTCCTTGTAACCCAACATTGGTTATTTCATCGAGAAGGTTCAGCATTACTTCTTCCTTTCGTAGCAATTCGTCATCTCCATCCATCAATGTTGTCTGAATGCCTTTATTTGTCCATTTATTTGTGAACGGATCATGGACAAGATCGCAACTTATATCATTTACAATACTAGTCCGAAGACAGTAAGTATTACTATCGGCTCGAACTGGTTTAAACAGACGAAAGTGATAACCAATACATTCACTGTATTGTGGGTGATCAACCAGTTTCCAGTGACCATCCATGCCTTTGAACTGTTCTTGTCGTCGATCGAGCATTTTTGGAATTTTTTCGGATCGATTGATTGCAGCTTTACCATCTCCATAGAAGCTTATGACTAGCTTATGAACAAAGATTGGAAAACTAAACTAAACATTTGATGAGAAGAGTACGAATAATTACCTGGAAACAAGGGTTTTGGAAACGGAGCTTGTACGTGGAATGCCAGGCCTAATGGTTGGCCGTTATGAAACAAATGCACTTTCATTTCACTGTCAGTCAGATTAAGTAAAATATCAATAGTGTCACCTTGTTTAATAGCGCTACCGAATGCACCAACTAACGCATAAATACCGTTAGTTAAGTTACCTAAAAGTAGCGAAAACTTAATCTGTAATGTAAGTAGATGTTTCTATGAATAGAGGGAGACATGAAACCGCTGTGAGCTTGAGACTTTTGGATCTACACAAAGATTCCCTAACTTACCATTGTATTCCATCGCCTTCAACCTATAGCCACCTTTGAAGTGGTCTTGTGTGGTTAGACCAACACTTGCAACCCCATGTTCATCTAATTGTGAAAATTCAATTTGCCAGTAATATAATCCTGATTTTTCAGCTGGATCTTTCCAAAGAACATGAATTGGACTGCCATAATCACCTTCTTTGTGACAAGTAACGCTGTTACCTTGTATGTTAATGGCTGATGATGCATTATCACTTTTTTCGATTATCCATGACATGACTTTAATCTTGTTGAGTATTGTAGGTTATAACTATCTAAAACTGAAGTGTAGAACAAAATGGAAAAGTACAAAATACCTATTTCAGGAAACAGCTTTTTATACGTTTAGTGTCTTCGCACAAAAAAAAAGTAATGTCTCTCAACTGAAAAATATGTTTTGATTCATACATTTTCGTATGTCAATTATTCACACACTAATTGACAAATGATTTGTTTTTATGTCGGAAAAAAATAGATGAAGCATGAAACCTGTGTTGATTGACATGGTCTAATGAGGCCTTGAAACACATTTTTTTATTTTGAAATTAATTGATAGTGATGAATGAATATATGAATAGAGCGAAGCATTATGATTTTCTATTAGATACACGTTGTTTTGTGAGGCAAATGGTATCAAAAAGACGCTAGCATCTGGTTCAGTACTTTGTCACTTGTTCCAAGGCATGAAATATAGAATACGAAAGATCACTGAATGAGCTTTTTTTCGACGTAAGAAAGCACCAAACTCTGTTTTTTAAATATTGTTCTGTCCAAGTGCTAAAAACGAATGAAGCCTGATTAAAAATACATCCATCGATGTAAGCCGAATACATGTGATTGTGGATGGTTAGTCAATTCACAGAAATTAATACCCACAGTCACATCCACTCTCTTTTTTACCAAAACGGATCGGTATACGACCGTATACGGTCGAGGTTAATCAACCTGGAATACAAATTGGTGTTTATCATAATATAATTACGTTCTTGAATAAATATTGTCTTATAGAATTTCTTTTCCTCAGGTATTTTTAATATTACTATTAGTCAAGAAATAACACTGTCACAAAAATCAAGCTCGATTATTGATTTATTTCAGCATTAGATTGAGTTGAAGAGATAAACCTTGAAAAATTAAACATCTTCGTTAAATACACATGTAATAAAAATTTCGATATTCTATGCCAAGAAAAATTATAACAAATATCAATAACAGTTTATCATCACTAACTATGAAATATCTTTCTTAATATCATTGATAAAACACTATTTTAGGAAGATAATCAATCATCATGGTATATTCGATTTGAGCGACAAGTCTAGTAATTGGTGCTGTTTTACTATTGTGTGGAGTTTTCCAGCTGACGTATCGGATCATTTGATTGTTCAGTGGCACGCTTTGCTCGTCTTATACTTTTGTACACTTGTATACCGGCCAATGTTATAGACACGACATTTATTCCACACATGAGAGAAAAGTAGGGTCCCGTATGCATTGCATTCTCGAGAGGAACGGCAATAGTTACAATAATGCCTGCTGCACAGAAATTGAGAAAAGTATTGGCAGCTAGCACTGCTCCTGATTCACTCTGTTTTTTGGCTGTCAAGTAAGCCGAAACACTTGGTTCGAGAACCGCTTGACCACTGCTAAGCAAAACCAAGCCAATAATTGGTACAGCTATATGAAATTTATAGTGGAATGTCCAGCCATAAATAATTAATCCAATCGGATGAAGAATAGACAAAGCAATAGCTGGTACAAGACGTCCTTCAGGGCATCTGTCATGTCCAAAATGTTTGCTAGCTTTGTCCGACAGCCATCCACTAAGGAGACTAGTTGTGAACTCGGCTACTCCACTTGGTACGAAAAGTAGACCAATAATGGTTTCTGAGTAGCTATATGGATTTTCACTAGCATAAGTAGAAAAGAGGGCAATACTGGTAAATAGGGTAGCAAAACTCGTCGTCATCACACCAATGTAAGGTAGTATTGTCAAATCAGTCAAATAAATGAGTGGTTTCCAAGGTTTTTGAAATGGTATCATCTCGTTTGGCTCAGCATCGGTAATGCGTTTGGTAGGATTCGCTTTATGGAAGCGCTCTTTCACTAAGTACTGATGCGTTTCAGGCACTATGACCAACATTATGACCAAAACACAAAATGAAAGGATTGACAAAAACATGAAAATACTACGCCAACCAAACACTTGGGATAATGGACCTCCGATCAAAGGACCAATTACAGGACCAATGTTAAAGGGCACGAAAAAAAATGCTTCTGCAAGTCCTCGCTTTTCCTTGGGATAGATATCAGCTACTAAGGCCTGACCAACTACTAACGTTGCTGATATTGTTCCACCTTCTATGGCACGAAATATAATAAGAACAGTTATAGTAGGAGCAAATATGCATACTATTGATGCTATCAAAAAGATAATAATCGATACCATCGTTGTAATCTTTCGACCGAATCGATCTGATATGCATCCCCAAAGAAGACTTAAAATGCCACTCATGAACAAGTAGATTGATATACTTATTGCTACTAGCGTGTTAGACGTTTTCAAATCATTAGCGATGTCGTTGATTGCAGGTAAGTATATAGTATCACAAAATGGAAGTAGAAAAGCGATCATCGCCAGAGCTGCAAGTACAATGTTACGTTTCAGATGACTTCTTACATCATAGATAGAGATTTCTTCGACTGCAGTAGGCAATGGTACTTCCAGATGTGTTGATGTAGGCGACGGTGTTTCCAAATCTGTTGATGCAGGCTTAGCAATACTGTCGAGTGAGGTCGGCGAGAAAGAAACTGTAATTGGGCATACTATGTCATTTTCGTTGCTATTCACATCGCTGGAACTTTCATTTTCCAAGCCAATCTCAGTCCTGAGTGACGACCGATTATTGCATGAGTTATCATTATTTAAGTTCATCTATAACTAAAACAAATTTTCAAGTATGTATTTATACACGTGCTAGGGAAGATGATTTTTAAGAGCATCATTGGTAAATACATATTATTCGTGTTAAGTAATTTCCACCAATCTATTTACGTGTGCTTTCTAATATATGAGTAAGCACTAATGTTTATTATTTTATTACATCAGTGGACACAGAAGAGAGTTCAGAGATCTTAAAGTGCAAGCATATGCATTCTCTATAAATGAATTATCATCCATAGTTGCATGATCAATGAGTCCATTCTGGAAAATTTCTTAAGAGACAGAAGTGTACAAATAACAGAAATTTCAAGCGTTAGAAAAATTTTAATAATAAGTCTAATAAGCCAAACTCTTGAAAATTGACACGCCAAGCTATAGTAGCCACGCTATTGTAACCTATAATTTCAAGAAAAGCTTTAACGAGTTGCTTCTTTACTTAGATCAGATCTGCCGTTCGCTTCAAGTAATCTTATCCACACTATCAAGTTAAAAAACTCAAGTTTAAGAGTATCAGTTTCATATTCTGCTCCATGATATATGCGCCCATGATGTAGTTCTCTATTTCATGTTCTTCTATAAGAGAATCTAGGAACGTAGCTTTATTAGATGACTGATACTAGTCTACATGCAATCGATTGCAGATTATCCTTTGCATTTGAGAACACAGATTCTGGTTCAGATGATCAAGTTGCACATCTGAGAAAAGGTCCAACGGGTAGTCGTCATATGCATACCTACAACTTCCTATCAGGAAAAAGAGTTTTTCTTAACACTTTCCAGAATGCATCAAGGCTACGTTTTTAAGAACAGAAAGCGTATTCAAGGGTCATAAGTTTTCTCTTAAAGAACTAAAAAATACTGGATTCTTAGCTGAAGCCTAACATATTTTAATCGTAAAATTTGGATAACACATTAGGTTAAGGATCCCACAGCTTTTTGTTAAGAATGTTAAGCTTGGGCACAGTAATCAAATTATGTGTTTGCAGCATCGAACTAAGAAAAAATGTCAAAACAATCTCTTTGATGAATTCAACAGTTCTACAGAATAGAATTTTGACATGTACTTTTTGAAAGTTGAAGTCAATTAGTATTTTATTTTTGAACAGTATAAGTCTACTTCTAAGTTCGAATTCATTCCTTCATTTCATCACGTCGGTTACTAGTTTAAAAAAAAAGAATATTCCTTGCAATATGTCTGTTTTTCCACACAAACCAAAAGATAGTTTGTAAAATGCTAGAAATCTATGATTGTAACTGTTTCTCATGGAATAGAAAAGAAGTGAGATTGAGCTAAATTTATTTACATTCCATAATATCATAACAAAAGCATTTCAATGTATAAAGTGAAAGTTAAAGTAACACTCTAATTTTCTGCACTATTATTTAATTCTTTAGTCAATATTATCACAATAAATTTCGATGAAAGTTCGATGTTATATTCTGTAACGATAACACCAGATCTTACTATCTTCGTTGTGTATCCTTCTCTCGATCATCCCTTCGTTCTTCTTCTCGTTTTTGTTTCTGCAACTGATCACACACCTATAAATTGATATAAATAGAGAGTACAGCGATTGCATCATTTGAGAAAAAACATTAACGAAAATAAATTTTATAATAAGACAAAACTAAGTATTGTAATTGATAGAGTGATATCGATTTTACATCAGAATTATATTTTTCAAAGCTTTCCCTATATCAAAGCCAATATATTTATGCTACTCTCATATACCAATAAATCTTATTGCATAATACTTCTCAAATGTCAGTGTACATTGGGCAACTAAAACTAAATTTTCGCTAAAATGGAACAAGATTTTAGTTAAATATCTGGAATATTGCTTTAGTCTAGGAGCAGAAAAAAAGGATTAGATTTTTTAAGCAAAAAGTTCAGTTTTCGATGAGTTACAGCAATAACAAAAATCAAAAGTCGCTCTAGACCTAACACAGCTTCAGCTCCTGAGTAGGATTTTAGCAGTTTTATATAAATTAAATTCTCATGAACCGAACCGTTGAACCAGATTGTACGAACTGTTAACCATATGTTTTGAAGTGGAACTTTTACAGTCTTACTCATAAGCTCAGATGAAATTGTCTCCTGAGCTGTTAACCCATATCAGCTTCGGTTAAAAGAAAGTTTTCAAACAATTCCTTTGGGCTAAACTGAACTCTTTCAATAGATTATATTAATTTTTCGAACAGTTCATAACATCGAGACTTTTGCTCAACTGTGCAACGCCTAACCGATACCTTAGTCGAAAAAGACATAAGAGTCACCGTTTAGGAATTGAGAAAATTGCATATCATTTCTCTATGAATAGTGAACATTAGAAGAAAACCTTTGGCAATCAGTTTTTCGTTGAAATAGAATTTCATTGATTGCATAATTCATTTTAACTGTCCAAGAAAATGAGATGAAGAGAAAACTCTTTGAATCCTTTCAATTTCATCTAGAATATATGACTTACTATTATTGTTAAGACCGAATTTTCTAATGAAAGATATTAAATAATATTCAAGCTTGAAATCTGGTGGATTCTTGAGAATATCTGCGGATGTTTCAAGTTTTTCATTAGAATGATGTTTTGTTTCAATTACTTCAAATTAAAATCGAGGTCGCTGGCGAATCTGATGACATACGATAAGGGTTCCTGATGAGCTTCATTAGACTTGTAGAACCTTTTCAATCGATTCAAGATCTCATTCATTGATTCGTTTCATTAATTTATGTGTTCATGGGTCAATATTTTGTTTATCGACTTCAATCTTGAGCTCATTTCATGGATCTTCAATTGTACCTCACTGTTCGTTCAACTCATGACGATGTTCATGGATATAATCACAGCAAAAAATCTTGAAAACATTCAACACATTTAACAGTATTTCTTGGTTTGTTACAGTTAACACAGAAAGTTTTGTCAGTTGTTGTAGCCATGTGAAGCTATACTTTAGAAACGAGGACAAACGAAAAAGAACTGATAATATAAGATATCATCACTAATTGACTTTGTTCTTTACTTTGTCAACAAAAGAATTCTTTCGTCATTCAGTTGTTTTGTTCTGTTTTCGATTTTCATCATCGAAAAAGCTACATCACATGGCCATGAAAGTTTCAAAAGTGTGGGTGTAGTGTAGGGGTGAATATAAGTGTGACTGTTCGTGTGAATGATAACAGTAACACCCACACTCCATTATGATATCCAATACAAATAATTTACGTGAACGTATTAAACAAGATCTACTTGATCTTTATTATGCCCAAGTGTACTAATTTTTTGTAGCCAGTCTTCTATTAGGCGTGTGGGTGTTGAAATTCATCTCACACGCATATACAATATTCACAACCACACTTCAAAACAGAGGCATTTGACGGAAGATTTACCAGACTAGATAGAAATGGAAGAGTGATCATCGAAGTGTAGAGTTTTGTTTTTATTTAGTATGGATCTATTTATATAGATTGAGAAAAAATAAGTATAGTAAGTGCTTATAGTCATCTTAAAGAGCAATGCATGTTGCATCTAACTATGGCATCACATGTTCATCTGGTTGGTAAAGGCATCAAAAGCCGTTGGATGTTCATATACATTGTGGATAGGCATCACTGGCATACACAAAGTATTCTGAACTATTTGATCAGTCTCGTAGTGAAAGATCAAACCACATATACGAACGTATCCGCGGCACCATGTGGACTTTGGCGCTATACATATTTAAAAGCCGTCCACGAAAAAACGATTTTTCGGTCGTATCTATTGAAATTCTGTCCTAAATTATTGACGTTACATTGGACGAAGTAATTGAGCGTATTGTTCTATCTTTTGCTTCGTCGTCATTTGGCTTTATCAGCACTAACAGTGAAATATTAGTGGTCTGTTTTCTTTCTTTTGCAATCAAATTATCAACCTGATCATTAAAAAAAAAAGATATGAGAGTCATTTAAGATGAAATCCTTGTTTAGCTTGCCGCTAGACTTGACGAATACGTATGGGTCACAAATAGCATAAGAAATAGCAACATTAACAATGATATATGAAAGCCATCAACAGTTTCACGATACTTTTATGTGGCTAACATAAGTTAAATGGTTGGAACTTTGGCAGTAATATCATCTATGTTGGTAATAACAAAAAGAAAAAAGATCTAATTGAATATGGTGAACCGTCAAATAGCAGTGGATTTTCTCAACAATTCTCTCTTAATGATAAACTCTTCTCTGCGACATTGTTTCTTATATGCACAAACACAAACATTATAGATTGAATTTTACGTCTACGTTCTTCAGATCTTTTCTCCATAATATAGCGTGTTGAGTGATGGTCTAAAAACCAAGGAAGTAACGAACAATAATCCTATTTATTCATTGAAAAGTAAAAGATAGTAATGAACTTCATGAATTTTATTTCACTTATGTTCGTGAGCCCATTCGAGCTAACTTTGCGTAATTATTCTTCTTCAAAGATTCAATCCCATGAATAATCCGTGGAATACAAGTCGAACAACTGGTTGCTAAGTTCGATGCGTCTCTGAATGAAAAATACCAACTATTTTTGACAGACATGAAATTATATGACGAATCACCTCATTATGTCTGAATACATTCATCAAATGTTGTATTTTATTGAATGTAATTTGATTCCATTGAAGATTCAGCATAACGAGTGTCTAGGAAGAACAAAGAGTCAACAAATAAGAAAGAAAGAAACACCTGATATTTTACTGTGTTATTCTGCAGTGCGTCGGCTAAATTTTGTGCCCCCAAATCTCCAATATTATTCTGCTGTAGATTCAGCGAGATCAATGTCTGTGTAAGAAAGGTAACATGAACATATAAGAAACAAAGCAGCATTATCAAGTACATAGTTATATCGTAGTGTATTAGCCAAATGTTGCGCTCCAGTATCTCTTATTTCATTCTGTTGCAGATTTAGCGTGCTGAGTGTCTATATGAAAAATAAAAACATACACGAGACAGATGTTATTGAATTATATATCACATAGTTATTGCGTAATGCTTCAGCTAGATACTGAACTCCATCATCACCAATTTTGTTCAGGCCAAGATTAAGTGTAGCTAGTGTCTATATTTTGAAATGAAAACATAAAATATATGAAAAAAAATCAATGGTACAGTTACTTTATTATTTCGTAATGCATTAGCCAAATGTTGAGAACCATTACTGTCCATATGGTTCGAGCGAAGATTTAATGTGGTAAGTGTCTGTGTAAAAAAGACGAGTATGAGAATAGGGTGAAATAATACTGTGAGTGACCATGTTATTTTGTAGTGTGTCAGCCAAATATTGAATGCCTTGGCATCCAATTCCATTACGTTCAAGATCCAATGTGGTCAGTGTCTGCGTGAAGAAACAAATATGAATGTAAACCAAATGAAGGAGTTATTTTTGGATCACATTGGTATGTCTTAATATATTAGCCATATACTGTGCCCCTACAGCTCCGATTTCATTCCAACCAAGGTCCAGATTCATAAGTGTCTATGTGAAAAAGTAAAGAATTATATAAGTGGAATAAATTAGTATTCGGGTTACGTGGGAAAATTCCAATGCATCAGTTAGATATTGAGCACCTGTGGCTGTGATTTTATTGTCAGACAGTTTCAATGTTGTGATTGTCTGTGTTGGTAGACAGATATAAGAGAAATAAACCTTTATAATGGGCTACTTTGCTACACCGTAATGCTTCCATCAAATGTTTGACTCCATTGTCTCCAATTTGATTCCAACCAAGCTCCAAAGTAGTTAACGCCTGTAAGAAAAAGTACAGATAACTATGAAAAAGCTGAATCATTATTTTTTCAGCTACGTGTAAATGTTGTAATGCTCTAGTCAAATGTTGTATACCATCACATCCGAGTCTGTTCCGTGCAAAGCGCAATATATTCAATGACTACGACATAAAATTTTAGATGAATGAAATTACAGAGATGAAGTCTTATTATAAATTACTTTAATGTGCTGCAATGCATCAGCTAACTGTTGAGCACCTGCAGCTTCGATTCGATTGCTCGACAAATCGAGTATAGTCAGTGTCTGTATGAAATATCATAGACGCATGCAATAGAAATAAAGCATCACTAGAATTTACATTGTTATTTCGTAATGCATCAGCCAAATAATATGCTCCATTATTACCAATGTCATTCTGCTTAAGACACAGTTCGATGAGTGTCTGTGTAAAACAACAAAAATGGATATGAGAAAGATGAAATGTTTCTATCGCACACATTATTGTTTCGTAAGGCTTCAGCCAGAAGTTGCATTATTTCGTCCCCAATTCTCATCTTGCCAAGGTATAGCGTGGTGTAGGTCTATGTAAAATAAAACAGCAGGCAATATTGTGACCCATTAGAAAAGAACGAGTTGTAATTTCGCTCTAACATTTTTTTCAACGAAATAAAAAGCAACAGCTGTCGAAAAATCTACAAAGTATGGCAAAATAACGTGCTGCAATTGTGGTATGTCTCAATTTTGTACATTCTAGATTGTCTTTGTACAGACACACGTTAGATCCTAATCAAAGCCAGGTCTTATGGCCTCAAACAAGTAAAATAAAGAATGAACTATGTTTTTTTTGTCAGAGCTGTGTGTTTTCTATACTGTTGCGTGTACTGTCTCAATGTTACTTATTCGATAATTTGGTATATCTCAGCTTTCTTCAATAAACATGTGGTACTCAAGTACTTGTGATAGTTCGAGCAATCCCAATTTCATCCTAAGACGTCTATTCCAGCTTATAAAAATGAATCTTTTAATCATTTATTCACAAGATTAAACCATTTTCAGAACGTGCGTGTCATGGATGTCAAGTGCAAAAGAACTTTTTCGCAGCCATTGCATTAATTTAGTTAAAATATAATCGAAATAAGTATAGCCAATATTAATTAGAAGAATCTTGACTAAGCATCAAGACACTGAGTAGAACGGCAATATTTTCGATATTCTTCGTTTGTTCGCTAGATCCATGATAGATGCTCAACATTTTAACGAACTACCTAGCTTGAGAGAAAATTTTAAAAAAAACTTAACTTATCAGAACATATGCTGTATTAATTGTATCGTAATCGAAGCATTCGTCAGAATTTCTACAGTAACCTTGTTCACTTATATTTTGAAGTGCAAAATTAGTAACATATGGTGTGTGTTGAAAAAAAAACAACTATATTGATCTGCAAGTATCTCTATATAAAAGAGATATCATTCTGAGGAAAATAAAAATGAACTTGATCCAAAGAAGGCATATGCAGAGTTCTATTATGGTTTCATACCATGATATGAAATTCGTATTTCAAAAACTTATAGTTTTTGTAAAGTAACTCTAACGCTATCAAATGAAATATAAAGGGAGTGAAACTGTAGAGTTTTTAAGTTAAAACTAGTATATGCCTATTAGATGAAAAGTTTCCTATTGTTTATATCTTTTGTCTCGAATATAAAGTTAAGAAAATTCCTAATTATCAGCTCAATCGATTACTTTTTCTGGACTTATATTCAAAACAAAAAAGCTCTTTGACTATGTTTCAAGTTTATGAATCTGGAAAGATGATGTCGCTTTGAACAAAGTGCGTCAATAATCATACAGGTCAACGTAAGCAAATCTTTATATATATATATATCACCGGAAAATTCATTTCTACCTCGTTTTCAGTTGAGCCAATATTTGGATATGTTAGTTGTCGAATTAGACGACAGACACCATCAATCGACGATACTTCACATCCGATTGAGTACGTTAAATTAGCAACACAAACTGGCATCGTGTACAGAATAATTGTAGATTCTGTGATGAAATAAGCACAAGAAACAGGCCAACACTTTTCGTTCAACCAGAATGGTGTCTGGAACAGTGTAATGATCGAGTTAAGTGTACTATGAGGAAAGTTGAAATTATGATCACAAGAGTAGCAGACGTAAAATTCGAATTTTTTCAGAATAGGTAGCTTCGTTTGGATGAGCTCTTCGAAATATGAACCATTGAACCAAGTGTCAAATATCGAATGTTGCGAAATTAATTTGAGATAGACCAATGCAGGTGTCATTGACAAAAGTAAGTGAAGTTTTTTTATGTCTAACTGACACTGATTCAACGTTAGGGATAACAGTTGTGAGTGACACGAAATGTCAGAAAGTAACAAGACCGTCTCATTGTTGCCGCATTTCGGAAATATGCAATTCCGCATGGCGAATATCTGTAAGCGAGGTAAACTTTGGAGAATGATCCTATATTGGTGATAGGTACAAGATCTTATTGCCAAATATTTTAATTCACTTATGATTGACCAACAGTTAGTATCAGTAATGAAATTGAAATTGAGCAACTGTAGCTTTCGAATATGAATCTGAGAAATGGCTGAGCAAATCGTAAACCATGTGTTCTCTCCGGTTCGATTGCACGAATCGATTGAAAGAGATACAAGAGGAAAATTTATGATATGTCGTAAGAATTCAGCTAGATGTTTGTTGTCTATTTGAACAAGCGTCAGGGAACGAAGTCGAGTAAATTGACCAAGATTAAAACATGTGAAGAACAGATCAATCTGAGATGGCCTCGCATAACCATCGAAAGTTAATGAAATGAAACCTTCTGATGGAATCTGTCGAGAAATGATTTCCAATTCGAGTTCTGGTTTTGTATTTAGATTGAGCTCAAACCGATTATACGTTTTCGTAATTGTATAGAGTTGTATACAGATATGACGAAACGAATAGAGAATTGTTTGTACATCAAGATGATCCAATATCTGATATAGAAGCTCGATGGGTAGAGTAAGAAGAGACATCGTCATTATGGACAAACACGGTAGTAATGCAATAACGATGCGTTTCTATTCGTTTTGCTTGATGGTAAAATGTCATGAACGAAAATGAATTTGTTTGCCATGCGTCTTTTTATCGTTCTGAATTTATTTTTTCGGCGATAAGAAAATAAAAACACCTCCCGTCGTCATATGAAAATAGAGGTGACACAGTTACATGGAAAGAAAAGCGATATGTCTTACTACCATTATTGATTCAGCATAAAAATCTAGAGGATGTGAATGTGGATGAAGAGAAAAAGTGTGACCTGCACATCTATATCTTCTTTCAATAAATAACCATGGATGGCTTCATTAAACCACCACGTTCTATCACATAATCACTAACATTTGTTTTTACATTTTATTTTTTATAATGATCTTTAAATTCATAATATTACCAACCCAATGATATGAAATTGGATTTAATAATTTTGAACGTTCATTAATAGAATGCTAATAAGTATCTTTTGAAAAACGCAATTCGTTTCATCAGTTAATACTCCTGTACCTAATTTAGCTGATGTTGAAAGGCAAAATCTTGATGGATATATACGTTTAAAATCAATTGCTCATCGTTTTAATGCATAACTAGCACCTTTTATTTATTTATTTTTTTTAGTAACCAGTTCAATTGAACATGCATAATTAATATCAATAAAATCATGAACAAAATTTTTTTCATACACTTGATCTATTGATGTCATTTTATCACTAATTGAACCATAAATTTGCATATACCAAATATAGCTTATGATAAATCGTGACGTATTTATGCTAATTTAGATGATTGCCCTTGACGTAATTATATTGTCATTGGGGGTATGTGGTTGTGGGTGGTGTAGATGTTGCTATGTAGGATGTGAGACAGAGAATGATACCCACACCCCACATCTGCAAGAGATTTCATATTTTTTAATAACATGACAGTCGGTTTTTTGAAATTTTCTTGCTTGTAATTTTGTTTTACAATATATGAACAAAATGATGACATCATACAAGAATATATAAATCTATCGTATTCAAAATATAAGAAAAAAGAATGTATATTTTGTCCATTCATCAATTTATTTTCGTTAACAATACTAATTTTTAAATAAACTTTATATTCATTGATAAACTCATGGAAATCAGAAGCTACTTCGATAGAAAAAAAAAATTGCATCCATTTGATTGTTATCAAAGTTTTACATATTTGAGTCCAAATTCGTACACTAGAGTGTGTGTACGAGTTCAATAAAGAGAATGTTCTCACACATCTATTCTTAGCTACAGAATCTAATATTATTTGAAAAGATCTACAGTTATATGCAAAATAAAGAACTTTTTTTTTTTCTTAAAAAATGATATGTACATATTTAAAATGACATATT